TCGGAGTCCCGGATGAGATCCCGGACGTCACGAGGAGTTCCGGAATGGTCCGGAGGTAAAGATTTATATATGGGAAGTCCTATTTTGGCCACCGGAAAATGTTCGGGATTTTTCGGTATTGTACCGGGAAGGTTCTAGAAGGTTCCGGAGTGGGGCCCACCTGCATGGGGGGACCCACATGAACGTGAGTAGTGGGGGAAAGGCCCCACACCCCTGGTCAAGGCGCACCAAGATCCCCCCTTAGAAGGAATAAGATCATATCCAGATCATATCCCGAAGGGATAAGATCAAGATCCCTAAAAAGGGGGGATAACAATCGGTGGGGAAGGAAATGATGGGATTTCTTTCCTCCCACCTTGGCCAATGCCCCAATGGACTTGGAGGGCAAGAAACCAGCCCCTCCACCCCTATATATAGTGGGGAGGCGCATGGGAGCTTAACGCAAGCCAAGGCGCAGCCCCTCCCCTCCCCAACACCTCTCCTCCTCCGTATATGCTTGGCGAAGCCCTGTCGGAGTACTGCTGCACCAACTACACCACGCCGTCGTGCTGCCGTTGGAGCAATCTTCCTCAACCTCTCCTTCCCCCTTGCTGGATCAAGAAGGAGGAGACGTCTCCCGTCCCGTACGTGTGTTGAACGCGGAGGTGCTGTCTGTTCAGCACTTGGACATCGGTGATCCGAATCACGTTCGAGTACGACTCCATCATCACCATCCCCTTGGCTAGCTTCCGCTCGTGATCTACAAGTGGTATGTAGATGCAAACTCTCTCCCTTGACTCGTTGCTTAGATGAACTCATAAATGGATCTTGGTGAAACCGTAGGAAAATTTTTAATTTTCTGCAACGTTCCCCAACAAAAATTGGGGGCCAGATCGTGAAAGTCCAGCCCATAGTAGAACATGAGCCCGCGGACAAACGGGTGGAGGGGAAATCCCAGTCTGCGGACGAAGTGGGTAAGAAAAACCACCCTCTCATGGGGTTTTGGAGTAGGGACGATCTGCCCCGCATCTGGCAGCCAGTGTGCGATTTCTGCAGCCAGGTATCCGGCTCTCTGTAGCTTTGTGATGTTCTCCTCCATAACGGAGGAGACCATCCACTTGCCTCCCGCTCCGGACATGCTCGGAGTGGTTCGAGGGGAAAATGTGAACTTGGGTGCTGGAGCTCGAGTGCGCGAGAATGGACGAGCAGGGAGGAAGAAGGCGTGGGTAAAGAGAGGAATCCTTGTCCCTTTATAAGGGCGGAAGAAACTATACGCCTCCAAACCTGCCTGGTAAACTTGCTTATTCCCCAAGCGTCGTAATTGATGGCACGGTTGGCTTACCCACGCCCGTATTGATGAGAATCCTGTGATAAGGGGACACGATCTCTGCTTCGACAAGACATGCCAATAAAACCGCCTCGCAATATGCGCAGTAGCTGGTTGATAAAAACGGTTCAAATAATAACCAGGCCGCGGTATGATGTCATGCTGCAGAATGTGTCAGCAAATTAGATTTGTGGAAATATTATTCTCTCTACGGAGGTATGTGGAACTTGTTTTACAGAGCCGGACACTATCATTGTGTTCAAAATCTTCTATGGAGTATTCAGAGGAAGAACCCGCCTTGCAATGTCGAAGACAATATGCGCGCCGGACTCATCGTCATTGAAGCATGGTTCAGGGGCTACTGAGGGAGTCCTGGATTAGGGGGTCCTCGGACGGCCGGACTATATACTTTAGACGGACTGTTGGACTATGAAGATACAAGATTGAAGACTTCGTCTCATGTCTGGATGGGACTCTCCATGGCGTGGAAGGCAAGCTTGGCAATACGAATATGTAGATCTCCTCCCTTGTAACCGACTCTGTGTAACCCTAGCCCCCTCCGGTGTCTATATAAACCGGAGGGTTTAGTCCGTATGACAACAACAATCATACCATAGGCTAGCTTCTAGGGTTTAGTCTCTACGATCTCGTGGTAGATCAACTCTTGTAATACTCATATCATCAAGATCAATCAAGCAGGAAGTAGGGTATTACCTCCATCGAGAGGGCCCGAACCTGGGTAAAACATCGTGTCCCCTGCCTCCTGTTACCATCCGCCTTAGACGCACAGTTCGGGATCCCCTACCCGAGATCCGCCGGTTTTGACATCGACACACATCACAAGAAGCTTGCAAGCAAAGTGAATAAGGAGTTAGTTACAAGATGATGTATTACGGAATGAGTAAATAGACTTGGCGGTAGCGAGATTGAAACTAGGTATGTAGATACTGAGAATCGAATCTCGTGCAAGTAACATATCAACAGACAAAGGGAATTACGTATGTTGTCATAAAGGTACGACCGATAAAGATCTTCGTGGAATATGTAGGAACTAATATGGGCATCCAGGTTCCGCTATTGGTTATTGACCGGAGAGGTATCTCGGTCATGTCTACATAGTTCTCGAACCCGTAGGTTCCGCATGCTTAACGTTTGTTGACGATATAGTATTATATGAGTTATGTGATTTGGTGATCGAATGTTGTTCGGAGTCCCGGATGAGATCACGGACATGACGAGGAGCTCCGGAATGGTCCGAAGGTAAAGATTCATATATAGGACGATACTATTTGGACACCGGAAGAGTTTCGAGTGCACTGGTTAGTCATCTGATCACCGGAAAGCGTTCTGGACACCCCCCGAGAGGTCTATGGGCCTAATGGGCCAAAGGGGAGGACACACCAGCCCACATAGGGGCTAGCGTGCCCCTCTCCCTGGCCGCCAGCCCTAGGGGAAGGAAAGGGGGAGGGTCGGCCCCTCCTGCCTTTCCCCTCCATGTGAGAAAGAAATGGGGGGGGGGGGCGCCACCTCCCCCTGCCTTCCTCCCGCACACAAACAAGGAAGGGGGCGCGGCTTGGGCAGGAGCCCAAGTGGGATTCGGCCCCACTTGGGGCGCCTCCTGTCTGACTCCCCTCTCCCCCCACCTATATATATGTCGGACGGGGTGCCACACATAACCACGACAATCTCTTAGCCGTGTGCGGCGCCCCTGTCCACAGTTTCGTCCCACGGTCATATTTTTGTAGTGCTTAGGCGAAGCCCTGCGAAGATAGCATCACCACCACCGCCACCACGCCGTCGTGCTGTCGAAACTCATCTACTACTTCGCCCGTCTTGCTGGATCAAGAAGGCGAGGACGTCACAGAGCTGAACGTGCGCTGAACGCGGAGGTGTCATACATTTGGTACTTGATCGGTTGGATCGCGAAGAAGTTCGACTACATCAACCGCATTACTTAACGCTTCCGCTTACGGTCAACGAGGGTGCGTAAACATACTCTCCAATCTCGTAGCTATGCATCTCCATGGATAGATCTTGCGTGTGCGTAGAATTTTTTTTGTTTTCCATGCAACATTTCCCAACAGGTGTACCTTGCAAAAGCTATTGGGGGTATCTTGCACCACACAGCCAGAAGGCAGCCTCCGGCACTTCATATTTGCAATGGTGGATGCCATAGCTAGGCCTTGCTCCATCATCAACCCATCAATGGAAACATCCACTACAGCCCATAAACCCTCACCCAACTGTTTGCAGAACCTGAGGAAGGTCACCTTCCTAACAGGGACAAGAGGTGAAAGAACCTGCAGCTTTGCCTGCATCTGTTGCAATGATAGACGAAACACTTACACGCTACTACACAAATAAGACGTGCATATGGACACTAGATACTGATCAACACGACACTCACAAGCAGCAATGCACCATCTCTACTTCCTGCAGCTCCAGTAGAGATCTCCTTGATCATCGATAATTCGACGATTATGCACGAGAACAAACGGGACCACCATCTCTGAAGCAAGATTTCAAACAGGCAAGGTATTGCACCTCCTTTCAACTAGGCGCTGCACAAGGTAGTGCAACTCCTTTCACCTAGGCACTGCACAACCAGGGGTGGGGCCCGGTCCGGACCCGGGGATGCCACGCTGGTCAGGAATGTAGCGCATGCCAATCAAGCACTACTCAGTGTAGCAGGTCGGCGCTACACAAAAGGATTAGCTGGGTGAATTTGTTTCGCCTATGGTTTAGTTTGTGAAATAGTTGCGGTCTTGAGGTCAGTTTTGTCCATTTTGCCTAATTCTGTTGGGTTGAAGTGCTTTAAAATATTTCTTTAGTGTATAAACATATAAGAACGTAAGATGGAGTATGAGAGGGCAATCATTAGTCAGACATATTTATCTACATTAAACTAGACTAACAGACAAGATCAACATGGGTGCGGGCTTATGGTGTCTGGGCATCAAGGAGGCCGATATTTTCAAAGAAAAACAAAAACCATATTTAGAAGTTAAATAAATTCCTTGAAAACTTGTACATGTTCACTACGGATCCATAAAACTTTGTTTGAAAAACATTGCAATTAGTTTTTGAGTCAAATTTTTTTGTACTTGGTAAGCTCTACAGAAAAAAAATCCAGCCCAACAACAACAAAATCAGCCCATTTGAAAATACAAAATTGTCTTTTTTTTGTACACCACATATGAAAGTAAAATGTTATAAAATTTTGCACATACATAGTATACATGTGTATGTGTGTTTAAAAAAACGATCTTTTCTTGTGTTATAGTAAATGGTGTTTTGAAAACGGCCTCAAGGAGCTCAGGCTCCATTGGCATTTTCCCAGATCGACATGCTTTTTCTTTACAATCATTGAGCCATAAAGAGTTTTATACTCCCCATTAATACATGAACTACCTGCACTGCCAGTAATGCGTACCCTTTTTTGAGCAAAAAGGCCTTCTCTCCAATTTCCATTAGTAAGAGAAATCAGGGCTGGCGACTGCGTACCTACTTCCACTTGCAGAAGCATTTGCGTGCGGCGTGCACTTGCAGAAACTTTTGTGCTCGTGGTTGCATGCTGATCGAGTCGAAATACAGTAGCGACGACCAGAGATCCTCTATAAGATTCAGCATCAGGCGATCACCTCAAAACCACACAGAGCACCTGACCCTCAGGTCCACACGCACGCCGGGTGCAATGACGCTTACCTTCGCCGTGCGCCGGCGAGAGCCAGTCCTCGTCGTCCCGGCCTCACCGACACCCCAGGAAACAAAGCGCCTCTCCGACATCGACAGTAAGGAGTCTCTGCGGGTGCTCATGCCCGGCGTCTTCGTCCACCGCGGCGGCCCGGCGCGCGGCGACGACGACCCGGTGGACGTCATCGCCCGAGCGCTGTCGGAGGCGCTGGTGCACTACTACCCCCTCGCAGGGCGCTTCAGGGAGGTGGAAGGTGGCAAGCTGGTCGTGGACTGCACTGGCCAGGGCGTGCTGTTCGCGGAGGCCGACGCCGACGTGCGGCTGGCCGAGCTCGAGGAGGCTGCCGGTGGTGGCCAGGGGCTGACGCCGCCGTTCCCGTGCATGGATGAGCTCCTCCTCGACGTGGATTGCTCTAGCGGCGGCGTGCTCACCTGGCCGTTGGTGGTGATCCAGGTCACGCGGCTCCTCTGCGGCGGCTTCGTCTTCGGCATGCGCATCAACCACGCCATGTGCGACGCCACGGGAGTCTACCTGTTCATGTCCGCCATCGCCGACCTCGCCCGCGGGCTCCCCGCGCCGGCCGTCGCGCCTTCATGGTCCCGCGGCCTCCTCGACGCGCCGCACAACAAGTACGACGTCACGCCGCCCCTGCCGTTCCCGGCCCACGGAAGCGACGACACCGTCATGCGTTCATTCGTCTTCCGGCTGGCCGACATCGCGGCGCTGAAGAAACGCCTCCACGGTGCACCGGCCGCGTCGACGTTCGAGGTCCTCGCGGCGCTCCTCTGGCGCGCTCGCGCTCCCTGCGGGCGAGGTCGCGCGGCTCGGCATCATCGCGAGCTTCAGGAGGAACGCCGCCCTGCGGCTCCCCACGGGATACTACGGCAACGCGTGCGTGCCGCTCAGAGCGGCGGCGCCCGCCGACGACATGGGCGGGAGCTCGCTGGGCGACGTGGTGGAGATGATACAGAAGGCTAAGGCAGCCGCCGCGCACGTGAGGTCCGCGGCCAACATGCTGGCGCTGCACGGGCCGCCGCCGTTCGACTCGCCCAACATGTTCCTCCTCTCCGACCTCCGGCACGTCGGGTTCCACCGCGTGGACTTCGGGTGGGGCGAGCCGGTGTATGGCGGGCCGTCTCAGGTGCATCTCGGGGGGACGTTCTTCGTGGCCGTCAAGGACGGTGACGGGGAGGACGCCGTGGCCGTGCCGGTCATGCTGCCGTGGACGGCCATGGAGCGGTTCGCGGCAGAGATCGAAACCTCGCTCCAGGCTTGATTACACGCCTGAAAAATAACAAGTCCAGTTTTTTCACAGATCTCATACTGCCTAGTATGTCTGAACTTCACCCACACTCATACCGCTTATATTTGAACTTCGGCCACACTCACACACATATAAATGATTAAAGCTCTGATGATGACAAGAACTGGAAGTTCGGACAACATCCACATGCAAAGGGTGCAACTTATATATCCTGCAACATCTCTGAAGGAAATATCCTAGTCTTTATCTTTATCTTTACCTACTAATAAAGCGGCTATCGCTTCTGGTCGTCCGTCATTAAAATTACCCTCTACCCACTAATGCCACCTGTAAGTGGAAAACGATTCGTTTTTCGGACTAAAAATCGCCGCCTCCCACGCTGTTTTATAGCTGCGAGACGAGCAGTAGTCAATGAGCGATCAGTAGCAGGGTGGTTGGCAAAAAATGTTACTCGTTTTGCAAAATTGTTCGCAATATTATAAAAAAATCACAATTTGGAAAAATGGTCACGAAATAAAATCAAGTGCATGATTTTGAAAAAATCATCATGTAGTCAAAACATATTCAGAAATCTGAAAAAAATGGCCATAACATTTTAGAAAATCATCGATTCGAAAAATGTTTGTTGAGTCAAAAAATGTTAATGAATTTGAAACCGTTTCATACATTTAAAAAGTTTGTAAACAAAAGTAATGTTCATTACTTTTTTAAGAAAATAAAAAATTTCAAAAAAACATGTTTGTCGATTCGAAAAGCTGTTCACTGATTCAAAAGTATTTTATGTTTAGGATTCGATTAGTTTTTTGAAAGTCTTTATATGTCTTGGCGTTGGGAGTAGTACGTAGTTAATGAGATTTGTTTTTAAAGTTTTAAACGTTCCCTTGCGCAACATAATGACAAATGTGGCATGCACTGGCAAACTCATAGGCTTGGGATTTACCACGTCAAATGCATTGTGATCACGTGGACATCGCAACCACCATCAGGTAGGGTGAGAAAAAAATAGCAACATGATGAGTCACAGTGTTAAAATAGAGTACGCTCATGTGTTAAGATATTGAGTCATACTTATTTGGTTAGCCATAATTTTTTGTCTCCCGTTGCAACGCACGGGCATATTTGCTAGTATAACTTATACACTGAAGTTCACAAGTAGTGCAATTTATACTGAGATGAGAAGTACAAAATGACCACCAGGTGCCAGCACCAGCACATGAAACAAGCTTGCAAAGCGTTCTAGGAGGCCCTGTGCACCTGGATTTTCCGACAAGATCGGTCCATGGTAAACTTTGGTATGAGTAGATTAGGCAAAATGTTGCCCCTTCATAGATATTTCTGGCCTAGAGAAGCTTTGAAGCATCTGGCAGAACTCCTTGGCCTTGCTTTCAGCGACTGAGCAATGGAAAGTTACTGTCATCTTTTGTAGCACTGTTGCCCAAACGAATAACCGTTCTACAAGAGCAGCTTCATGTTCAGTTCCTATCAAGTTACAGACTTCTACTTCTCGGAGGCAATTCAGCGCGAGTTCTTTGCTTTTCCAGCTTGGTGGCTGATCACAAACACAACCTGATGGGCACAGAGTCTGTGCCTGAAGCAAGGAGCATATCAGCTCAATAAGATATGATTGAATGACATAAATAAGAAAGATGGAACTAGAAATTGTAGGACAGCCTGGATATTTAAGATATGTCTTGAACAAATTTACAGAAATCCAGGAAATTAGTATAAAGCCAACCTACGGAAGAGAATATGATTGTTCTATAATTATACAGCAACTTATCTTTTATATCTAAATAGCTAACCCCCACTAACTATTTCTCTTAACATGCAAGTATGCCACATCATCACACAACATGCATGAGAAAAGGCCATCCCACTATCATATGTCTCTCAACATGCAAGCTAGCCACTTCATCACGACATGCATGAAAAAAAGACCCATGTCAACATGCAAACATGAATTTTCATTCTATTATGCTATATATATTTAATAAACATTTTACAACTATATAGTAATCAAACATAATAAATTATATGTATTTTTAGTTTTAGTTTTTTATATTATTACTTCAAATATTCTCATATAACGAATCACATTGAAATATGTTGCAAACTATTTCCGCAACAACGTGCAGAGTATCATCTAGTTTTAATAATTATACAGCAACGAGATCTTAATTGACCTATGGCCATTATTACGCATTGATGCGATCTTTTAAAACACGTCCAAGTATATTATTATATTAGTATTATCTCCTATACCCTAACTATTTTATGGCGCAGTCAAATTCACATTAGTGATATCGATGAAGATGTGAGTCATCGAATAAAAGTTGGATGGATAAAGTGGTGCCAAGCTTTTGGCGTTCTCTATGATAAGAGAGTGCCTCAAAAGCTAAAAGGCAGGTTCTATAGGACATCAATTCGACCCGTGATGTTGTATGGTGCTGAACGTTGGCCAGCTAAAAGGCGACATGTCCAACAGCTAGGTGTAACAGAGATGCGCATGTTGAGATGAATATGTGGCCACACAAGAAAGGAGTGGGTCCGGAATGATTATATACGTGATAGAGTTGGGGTGGCACCGACTGAAGAGAAACTTGTCCAACATCGTCTGAGATGGTTTGGGCATATCGTAACCCCCTCGTCCGCCCCTGTGGGTGGCCAAGGAAAACCCTAGTCGCCGTCGGGCTTCTCTTCCCCGGCTTCCTCACCCTCGCCGCCGCCTGTAGCGCTGCTGGGCAAAGCA